GAAGGGAAGGGAAGGGAAGGGAAGGGAAGGGAAGGGAAGGGAAGGGAAGGGAAGGGGGGGATCTTAATTAATGTAGAAGATTGATGGATTTAGAAAATAATCTGGAAACCATCATAATAATAACCAATTCAGGTAAAAAGCACCGATGCATGATAAAACCAGCGGGTGGAGGTTTGAAGAACAGCAGGATAATAGTCTCGGAGTTCTCCTCACATGACAACCCACGCAGCACAAAAGGAAAAACAGTAACTTTACAGTGGAGAAGTCTGCAGACAGTGATCGAAGTGAATGTCACCAGTAATGGGACAGTCAGCACCACACCGTGTGCTTCCTGATACGACCCTTTGAGAAGGACACAGTATCCAGTCTATGGGATTCCTGTGGAAACGTGCATAACCCGAACCGAACAGGGTGGCGACAAACACAGCCCGGCCTGAGGAGCAGCCTGCGACACAGGGGCCTGCAGGCCTCAAAAGCGTCAGCGCCAGGAAACACGAAGGATACCTAGAGGGGGTGACAGCTAAATGCAATACGTGACCTTTTCTATGAAGGATATTAGTGGGACAACTGGCAAAATATGAATAAAACCTATAGATAGGATAAGAGTATTATATCAATGTTAATTTCCTGATGTGTGTGTGTGTACAGAGAGAGAAAGGATGTGGTAAAATGTTAACACTTAGAGAAAGAATCGGGGTTAAGGGTATTTGAGAATTTTTTGTACTTGTTTGGAGACTTTAGGTCTCAAATTACATCAAAATAAAAAGTTAATAGGAAAATTTTTTACATTCCTCTCCTCACTACAAACATTTATCTGGAAAAAAGAATCTCTTCAGAGATCAAGAGCCAGAGCTTGAAGGACCGTGCACCATTTTTAACAAGTCTTGAAAGAGAAAGACTGAGGATATAATTTGTTTGCTGCCACCCTGGGAAGAAATGAAAGCCCACCCCAGGCAACAGGGAAGGACCTAAAAGAGGGGACAAATTTAGAGTAGATGAAAGTGACAAGTGACACAAGTGTGAGGCTGCTTGCTGCCTGGCACACAGCCCCGCAGAGGTGAAACCCTGGAGCTGGACAGAGATTCCCAAAGACAATGCGGAAACCCCGAGCAGCGTGGGCGCTGCCTCACTGCACACCTGGAGCTCCGGGAGCAGACTCCCCACACAGTGCTCAACCTGCCCACGGCAGCTGCAAAGCCGCAACAGCAGTGTGCCATGTTTAAAGGAAGACAGGGCCTGAAATAGTCACTCTCTCATTTACACAACACACACACACCCCCCACAATTCCCCATGGCTGGCCTGTGGCATGGGGGAGATTCAGAACTTCTCAGTCGAGCCTGTGAACTAGAAGAAGCCCTCCCCCCCCACCACCATTATGCCAACCAAAATGCACACGTCCAAATGACCCTACCACTGAGAACCACTCTATTAGACTATAAAGAAAATTTAAATGAATTCAAAATATCAAAACAATGACCACAATATTATAAATTTCTACATTAGCTTTTAAACTATAGGGTTTATAAAAAATTCTGAGAACAAAGAAAAGCACCATCATTTCCTAATTAACTCTTAGATCAATGAGGAAATAAGGGTGCAGTAACAACTTATAAAGAATAAGGGCAACATACCAAAGAATAAAGTATAGAGATAAAGCTATATTCAGGAACAAATTCACAGCAGTGGTGCTTTTATTATTTTGGGCTGAGCTGTATCCTCCCAAAGTTGATGTGTCGTAGCCCTAACCCCAGTGTGGCTGTACTTCAAGGCGGGGCCTTTAAGGAAGGCATTAGGTGGGGTCCTAATCTGATAGAACCAGTATAGGTATCATAAGAGGAAAACACACCAGAGGTATCTTCACCCCTCCCCCACCCCTTCTGCAAAAAAAAAAAAAAAAAAAAATAAAAAAAAAAAAAAAAAAAAACCCAAG